CAAAGGAGGCCATACAAAGTATTAACTCTTTGATTATTGTATACAAAAACACTGGTCAAAAAACTGTCCACATGATGTATTAGAATAGAAAATTCATATCTCCTTCATTTCTTCACCAAAAGGCACGAAGATTGGATGTATTTATAGCCATGATACTAGGCTATATTTGATAAACTGGCACCATGATCTGATTCACTCTTGGTCACCCACAATACTGTGATTTTTCCGAAACAAGCAAACATGTGGACAGTTTTTTGAGCGACTGTATACGCATACAACTCCCTCCATGATCAGATCATGAAAGATGTCGTTCATCATCATCTGGAAGGTCGCCAGGCTATTGCAAAGACCAAAGAACATCACTAATGGCTCAAAAAGACCCCTGTTTGTCCGAAAGGCTGCCTTCCACTCATCTCCCTTCCGGATCCGTACATTATTGTATCCCCACCGGACATCTAGTTTGGTAAAGTACTTCATGCCGCGTAATTGATTGACCAGTTCGGAAATCAATGGAATAGGATAGCAATTTTTGATAGTTATCCTGTTCAATGCTCGATAGTCTTGTACCAGCTGCAAGGTTCTGTTCTTCTTCTTGATGAAGAATACCGGGGAGGCCATTGGGGACTTGGAGGGGCGGATCCGTCCGGAATCCAAGTTTTCTTGGAGGAAAGTGTCCAACTCGGCCTGCTCTGCAGGGGACAGTGGGTAAACCTTCGTGTTCATGGGTTTTGCATCCGGGGTTAGCTCTACAGCGTGGTCCCATATCTTTTCATGCGGAAGCGAATCAAAAGACTTCTTGGAGAAGACATCTTCGAATTCACGCAAATACTTTGGTATATGCATCTCCGCCTTGATGTTTTTGCTATGGGCTTTGGCCAATCGAGAGGAAATGGTCTGGGTGGCACAGATGAACTCTTCTTCTGTCGGGAGATTGATGTAGAAAAGCCGATCACCTTCTTCGAATCTATCCTCTGGCGCAACAGGGTTCGCCTCATCATCTGTGGCTGATGGTGAGTCGTCCTTGACATCGGATTCATCGTCGTCATCATCAGCTTCTTCTACAAAAGCAGGGTGCGGACCCGAGCGGCACTTCAGAAGGCAGTGTACTTCGACCTTCTTCTTGTGTCTCCGGGTGGAAGCTTCCTTGCGAATTTCCGTTCGGCATGTAAGGCATTTATCAGGGCAGCAGCTCATCTTCACTTCCTTGGTTTGCCAGTCGATTTCAGGGTTGTGCTCCTCAAGCCAGGTGAATCCCAAAATCATATCCTGTTTCCCCAAATTGGTGACAGCGAAAGAAGTCCGCTCAGTGTGATCATTGTAGCGCAAAATCAGGTCCATGATTTCGGTGACAGAGCCTCCCTCATTTCGAGTTCCATCCACATTGAGCACCGGAATCGCGCGGGCAAGTTTGCGCAT